GAGAGAAGGAGCTGCTATTCTGTATAAATTTATCCAACTTTACCATCATTTCGATGTTTCTCTCTCTCTCTCTCTCTCATATTTTTTTTCTTCGTTCTCCCTTAACCATTTGATTTCTTTTTAAAAAGACGAGATCGTGCAAAAGGCTCGACATTTCCCGTGCAAGAACTTCTTAATGAGCTTACGTGTCTCGCATAAATTGCATCGGAGTTTTCTATACGCCATAGATCTTATATTCTTCTCTCCCTTCGTTGCGTTTTCTTCTCGGAAAAGGGATATCGAAAAGTAAATGAAAAGATTTCGATCTGAATTATTTGAGAGAGGGAAGGTGTAAAAAGCGAAAACGAAAACGAGGGTGATTCGATAGGAAAAACTGGCCTGGGGAACCTTCTATTGTGCTTTCTTTCAAAGCATTTCTTTCTCTTTCTCTCTTTCTCTCTTTCTCTCTTTCTCTGTCTTTCTTTCTTTCTTTGTCTATTTCTCGCGTGGGATCTTCAATTCGATGTTATCCAGTTACGCTTCGTTTTTTGTTCAAAGAAGCGAGAAAATTACGATCTATAAACGAAAATAAAAAAAAAGGGAAAAAGCAAAAACTGTTTGTCAAATCTTAAGGAAAACAAAAAACACTTTTAACGATATTAAACATCAATGTTACATCGAAATTCAATGTAATCGATTTGATCATATTTTACGAATATAAATCAAGTACTGATAAACACATTGTTTTTCATTTAACTATTCCTATTATCATTTCTAATACTTAACGATGATTTTTGTCATTAACATTGTGTAACTGAATCATTCTTAATTTATATTTTTTTGTTTTATATAAAACAATATTTATTAATCGATTTTATATTTTCTTTGTGTATATATTCAATTTTATACGATAATTTGTTTATTTTTTAACACTAACGATTTTTCTGAACAACTATTCGTTATTGATTTAGATAAAAAGAAATGAAAAACCTCGTATATAACCTTTGACGAATTCGATGCAAGTTATATAGGAAAATAATAGTAGACAGTGGATGAAGGTAAAAGTCCTGATGTAATCTATCGAAGGGTTGTTCGGTAGACTGGAAGCAGCGATATTCTAGAAGAGCGAAGGTCGCGCGAGCAGAAAACATTGATAGGAGGCATTTCGTCCTGTCAAATACACGAATCCTGTCCCGGTGTTCTCGAATCGATTCGAAAATTATGTGAATTTACGCTTGAGATAAGCCGCTTTATACTCTCTATCTCTCTATCTCTCTTTCTCTCTCTCTTTCGATCGAATATTTCCACTTTCCCTTTTTAAAACTGCGTACACAGAGTATCTTCGCGTTTCGTTTGCGTAACTTTATATTCTATTTTCTATTCTCCTCGGTCCTTTTTTTTCTCTTTCGTTCTACTTTATTTCAACACAGATTTAAGGAAAGCAAGAAGGAAGGAAAGAAAGAAAGAGAGAAAAAAAACTAAGATAGAAATAATTTATATCATGAGAGAAGAAATTCTCGGATAAAGGAATAGGATGTCGCAAAAAACATGTGCGAAAAATTATGCGATATTTTGCCTCGATTTTCCGTAGAGATTGTACTTGATAGACGTAAAGAGTGAGATAAGAGGATTACATAGCCTAATAATAAGTTAGAATTATCTTGCTCTCTAATAATTACCTTCTTAGAAAATGAATATTCTTTAACTATTTACTAAAAAAAAAGGAGAAAATTATACATATCAACGATCAAAATCAATGATGAAAATACTGTTACTTCATGTTAAAATATATACATTAGAAACATTAAGATTAGAAAATGAGAGAAATATTTGGTATATCTAATGTAATATATATATATATATATATTTTTATTGTTTTTGGTTGATATTTAATTCGAGACTTTCGCTAAAACAAATCAGACCAGATTAGACCAAATCAAACTTACACGATCGTTCATTTTGCTATGTAAAAATTGATCTATATGGAACATAGTCAACAGACCGAACTATCAACAGCAGCATTCATTTCTTAAATTATACACTTTACGGTTGACTAAGATCAATCATGGTCGTTAACACGTTCTCTCTTCTTTTCACCATTCCTCTTGTGATTTGCATCGTTCTTATGTAGTTATGTTCTTTCGTTTGTTCCGTTCATTCGTCGTTGTAATCGTTTAAACGAATCTCGCGAAGAGGAAATCAAGTTGCTGACTCAGCCAAAGACTTTTTCCGGGCTACATCGGCAAACGGTTTCGTAGCATGCGGACGAATAAAACGCCAGCTGGCTGACTGGCTGTTCATTTCTGCACGCTTTCGAATCTTACCGATGGTCGACCGTCAGCGTAATAGTCATACAGCAGGTAGTCGCATTGTAACTAACGACGCTTTCCTTACAACGCAATAAACGTCCCTGGAGTACTTTGCAGATCGATATCAATATAAATCCAGCGCGAACTCTTTTCGATTTTATGGTACCTGCAGACGAATTATTATTTCGTTCTTTTCTTTGTTTTGTTTTTTTCTTTTTCTTTTTTTTTTTTCTTCAAAAAAGTGAATTACATCGAAGCAAAACGTTTCTGGATCGAATCATCTAGCAAAACAATTCTATTGAACTTACTTCATCACGTCTGGTTCTCCAGCAATTTTAGAAATACTGTAAATACACAAAACATCAATCATTTTTGAACATTGTCGTAAATTTAATAAAAATTAGTTACGAATGATGTTTTTTTCTTTTTTTGGGACATTTACGATAGCCTTTAAAACGTTACACAGAGAAATTTTCAAAATTTATATTCGAGGTTTTATTTTGAATACGAAGTTTCGAAATATCCTTCTTTAAATAGTTATCGCCTAAACAAGTTATCCGGAATGGTGGTTATTAAAACGGCCTTGAAAACTTTCGAATTACATAAAAACGAATAAATGCAATTTTAATTCTCTACCGTTTAATATCAAACGATTACAGGCAAAACAACTTTTTCTCAAAAAATATCATATTTTCGATTGAATAATTTGTAAGTTTATTTGGAACACCTGGTTTAAATATAACTTCGATAAAAGACTATTACGATAATATATTTTAGATCCATAACTTGAACCGGTTTATTACGTCTGAAAAAAAATAGATCATTGAGCACCGAATGATCGTTCATTTTTAGTGGCTTACCTTGTTACTCGATACTTCTATTTGCATGGTGGTTTCCGGTACATGCACTATTACTCTGTAAGAAGTTAACCATACATTCTTCCGTGTCATAGCTGCTTGACAACTTTTGCATCGACTATTATATGAATATTATTTTTGAATATTGTATGAATATTATTTTTGAATATTGTATGAATATTATTTTTGAATATTATATAAATATTATTTTGGAATATTGTATGAATATTATTTTTGAATATTCTTCGAATTTTTTTTTTTGAATAATACATAAATATTATTTTTGAATATTACATTTATATTATTTTTGAATATTATATAAATATTATTTTTGAATATTATATTTATATTATTTTTGAATTGGAGAATTGAGAATTGAGAAATGAATTTAAGGATTAAACGGCATCTTTATTTATCATCTTTAATTGCAATTTATCTAAAAAATTATTGAGTAGTGGCCCCTATAACCATATATATTCGTGAACATGGAAGCAAAATCTATTATCCTGCAAAATTTGAACAAAATCCGTGAGGGCAAGACCTTGCACTTCCCTTGTCAGATCTTTTCAACATACCCATATATATATATATATTTTCTGTAATTTATTGTTTTTTAATTAAATGAATATAAATAATATGAAATTATTAACTTCATTTTTTTTGAAACGATTGATTATTGAGTTTTATTGTTTGCGCAATTTATAATTCTAATGAGCCACTACGACTGTGTAAAATTTAAACAAAAAATTATTACCTTACTAACTTGATTCTTTGCTTATGAATATAATATATAATTGTGATATAATAATTATTAAATATAACTAATTTGTTTTAAAAACATATACATCTTTAAATATAAATTAATAATTAATTTTCAATTAAGAAAATAATTAGATATTAAAGAACATTAAACCGAGTGCTTTATATTAATAATAATAATTTTTATTTCTAAATTATTGTCAATTAATTCGATGTGCCTGCAAATAAATAGAAAAATGTTAAAGCATAAATCAATGATTGAATGTATTATTTACAGGATCAAAGTAATCCGTAGTATTAAAAAATACTGCAATATTTGCAATTAGTTAGTCATGTTTGCGATGCGTAGAAAAGCAAACAAACAAGTTTAAATTTCAAACATAGAAATCGACAACTACAACATTTTCGCATCGTACACGTCGTCAATTTGGACACGACCATAGGAATACGCTTCGTTTGTTTATTGTCGTGTTGATAGATCTTTTGGACAAAAAAGAATTTGTTTTTACGAAAAAAAAAAACAAACAAGTAAGAACACAGAGTATAAATCGAATTTTTTATAATGAAAATCAAAGAAATATGAGTTAAGGATGAGTAAAATAAGTACAGTAGCATAAACGTAAAGATTAATATTTTTCAATAATTTTTTTCTTTCGTTTTTTTTTCTTTTTTTTAATTATTATTAATAATTTTTATTTCATTACAATTTATGGTTATTTACAATTTATTTTACACTGCTATCGATCCGATCTCATTGAAAAATGTATCCCATTCACTTTCAAGCCGTTTCCTAAGACTCCTAACGTCAGTTTAAACGATAAATGATCATGACTTGGTTCTTTCTAAGACAAGATTTTCTCAGCAAATGTTAAATGATACATATTTCAACTCTACGTTTCGTCAATAATGAATAATTTAGTCCTGGAAAATTGATCTGAAGAATAAACACCGCGTGAGCACTTAAATATAACTCAAGTCATTCGTTAATGGCTAGTGAACTACAATACAAAAATTTAACCCAAAAATACGATTAATTGACAATTCTTATCCTGGAATGCTTAATTCGGTTTTTAACAATAACCTATGAACAATAACACTCGTACAATATAATATATTATGTAATATTTATTCTATATACAATAATGGTAACATTTTGAACACGATCAGTTAGGACGGTTAAAATCGCTTCCTTCGGTGCTATTAATTAGCACAATCGAAGTACGATTATTTTTTTATTAATAATAATAATATTAATAATAATAATAATAAATAAATAAAAGTATGCTAACATGTGTACTTCATAGATATTAAGAAATTAATTAACAATAACGAGCGAATACAAACTCGTGAATCAACAACTGTTAAAATCGAAGTGCTAAAAAAAAGTGTGATTCGTTATATTCATATTTTTTGTTTTTTGCTATACATTAATAATTACAATATTATTGATCTATTTGACTTTTCGATTGAGATCACTTCGATACGCAGCTATTAATGCATAAAACTTTGGTATGCATCGCTATTAAGACTTCAAATGAAATTGCACTTTAATTAATTACTCCCCGATCTCGTTTAACGTTTTACCTTCGTTTTCCCTTTTTTTCCGTAATTAGATCGCAACAATTTAAATTTTACATCATTTTCAAATATATATATTAGGTTGTTGCACGAAAGTATCGTGACACTCAGCGTGCTCAAGTTCCATATTGCCACTTCGTCTTCTGTTAGGTAAACGCCAATATTCGATATCCAGTCTCGTTCACCTCGATTTAATAATAGTAATACCTTAGGAAGCCTAAGAAACAAAAGATAAAAAAGCACCGTGTGAATGAATATAGACAACCAATTCATAAAACGGTATCCGTATACAATTACACATGGTTACGCATACACACACACATACACACATGTATACTATATACATTGCATATACGTATACGTAGAACGACAATAGATATTTATCTCTTTCTAACCTTTAAGCGATATCGTATTATGAGTCACGTGCAAAAAAGCATTCTTATTTTCCCTATTATTATACCGTAACGGATAGAGTTGTCAAAGTCGGTTTTTATTATCTTCTAGAATCTTTCAATTATATTTTCATTATTATATAATTTTGAAAGGAGGGAAAAATAAAAATAGAAACAAATAATTCCATTTTAGAAAAATCATGATGAAGTTATAAGAACAGTCTCAGAAGTTATTCTCATCTGTAGAACAAAATAACAAGTTTTCTTGATCACTTTAAAAAGAACTCTTGAGTATTTGATCAAAGACAGACTTAACGGTTCGAATAGTAGTCCATTTTAAATGAGTTAGTGGAAACTGACAGTAAGAGGAACACCAGAAAGAGAAAGAGAGAGAGAGAGAGACACATACAGAGGAATATATATATGACCATTGATAATGAGAAGGTGGCCTAAGAGAATACAGAGAATGGGTTAGATAAAGTGAGAGAGAGAAAGAAAGGGGTCGGGTGGGTGGGGGGTGAGTTTCAGAGCTACTAATTACGAGCACCCTCGTCACCTTCCTTCCCTTAGCATGATTGACCTCATCCCTTTTCGCATGCTCTCCCTTTGATTGATAAGTGCTCGCTTTTCTGCTCCTATGCCTCGCCAATGCACGATCACCCTTCACCGAGTTAGCTACCTCGACCACCACGACGTCCTGACAATATAAAGTCAAATAGGTTTCGAACATTGAAAGGGAAACTAAAGAGAAAGAGAGAGAGAGAGAGAGAGAGAGAGATAGAGAGTAACTGGAGTTGATTATATTACGTATTTTCGAGATCAATAAGCTTCCCTACCAAACGTGAATGAATATTGTTCGATATTGTCAACTTTTTTTTATAAGAGAAATGATTGACATTTTGATGTGATTCAGAATAATATATAATTTCGTACAAATAATTGTTAATTTAACATAAGTGAATATCTTTTTTTTTTTCATTTATCAAAGTAACCCTCAGTCACGTAGATCATTCTGTCCATATATTTGATAGAATATAAAATGAAAAAAGAAGAGATGAGTGGGGGTAAAAAGATATTCTTATTCCATTTTCGCGAAGTTCCAACTTCCGCTTTTGGAATTAACGTCTCGTGAAAAAGTACTTAACAGAGATATCGCTAAATTACGAGTTTTGCTTTGCCGAAAGCGAAGTTCGCTTTTCTCTCAGCCCTCCTTTCAACCCTCGGATAAATTTCCTTCAAGGACGTCCGGAGGGGGCCGAGACCCCGTAGCCTTTACGCGTGTCGCGTAATTAAATGCGAGTCAGAGGAGATGGGTGGGGATTGGTAGGGTTTTTTAAGCTTCTCTCGAAAAAGAGAAGAAGAGATTTTGTTACGCCGTTTGACTTGGGCTTATTCGTAATTTTTATGAATACATCTTTTTCCAACCATTTCCCGTTGAAAAAAGAAATTCCCATCGACGGAAAAAATAATAATCGAATAATGTGAGTGAAAAAAAAAATTAGTTAATTCCCGATCAACGGAATTCGACTCGACTCGACTCGACTCGACTCGACTTGACTTGACTTGACTTGACCGGATAAAAATGAGGAAAGGAACGTTGATCTTGTCCGAGAAGAAAAGAAAAAAAAGAAAAATACGTAATAAACGTAGATCGACAAAAATGTCGACCTTGTCGTTAACCTAACCGACCTCATAACACCTGTTACGTGCCACGTAATGGCATCGAGAAAGGAAGCGTTACGGGTAAACGAGTTTGATTGACGTTACTTTCACTGATCCACACAAAGCGGGTTGTTTGCTAGCGTCGTCTTCCAAGGCTTCCCTTTCAGGATTCTTATTCTCACCTTCACGAAAACCGGTATTTCGAATTAATCTCGTACCCGCGAAGTAAGAATTCAGGAAGTAAGATATATTCATTATTTCGTACTTATTTACTCTTTTACAGGTATCATTATATCTTCTAATGTCGTTATTACATTATGACATTAACATTAATCATATTATCTTCTCGTTCAAGAATTTACCTACCTGCACTATGTTTATTATTATATAATAATACTCGATTATGTGATATTCTTACCGATTACGATTAATATCATATTTTTCTTTCTATTTTTTCCCCTATCTGTTCTCTTTTATTTATTTTTATTTCTCTTTTCTTTCGTTCAATTAAGTTTATAGATAAAATCGTTAAAATCAAACACTAGGAACTCGGAGGGAAAGTAAATTGTTAAAGCATTGAAGTAAAATGGTGCACTAGAAGAAACTTGCTGGAAGAGAGTAGCTCGAAGGTTATAGTCTCTTCGAACATCGAAACGATTTTCTTCCGCGTTGTGTCGGCCGCGATTATGGTGTCTCGAAGGTAGTAGATGGAATAAAACAAGGAAACGAGCTCACGTCCTCGACAAGAAGAGACGGGTTCACGATCACGAACACGAGATACCCTTGTCTACGAACATGCAACGCTTTTGCGTATCTACATACACACACACATACACGTGCACATATATATATATATATACATATATACAGGTATGCATATATAATATTGACATATATATATAGCATAAAGCAGACTTCTCTTTTGAGTATGAGAGAATATGTGCGCGCGCACACGACACATCAAGGATCGATCCTTTCAGACACGCGTTTTGCATCTGTCGACCTTCGTTTAAAATCCTGGATGAAAGTAAAGTACGGATCTATCAATTTCGTTCCGTCCTTTAACCATCGATCGAGTAACAAAAACAACAAAATTCAAATTTCAAAATACTCGTTTAGGATGAAAGGTCAATCGTTGGATACACTTTTCACAGCATATTTGTTTAATATATTTTTTTTTGAAATGGATTTGTTTTGTGGGAATTAATTATTTTTTAAATTGTAGTATATTAAAATTTAGTATTAACATACCAACCATATAATAACAGTAGTCGATTAGACAATGCGATATTAGTATTACAAACATGTAATTTACAATTACAACATACAGGGTTTCTTTGTTTTAATCAAAGTAGGATACCCTATACAAGTACATTTGTATGGTATTTTGTTTTTTTTTATCTTTCTTTTTACATAGTTATTGATTGGGGGCGGGTAAGGGGGTGGGAAAGAGAAAAGTTCAAAGTTACTCAACGATTAGGGTTATTTTATGTTATTTTTAAGGAAATAATAAATATACAATTGTTTTWTTTTATTTTATTTAATAAGTTAAAGTGCACAAAAGGATAAAAACGGAGTGGTGCGAGTGCGTCAAAGAAACGGAGCGGGGAGGGTGATTGGTGGTGGCTGGATGTTTTCTCTCCCTGACCATTCCCTCTCTGTGGCCTCTCTCGCTCTCTCAACGTATCATCTTTGGATTTCTTACATATGTACAAGCGAAGAATCGTCCCCTTTCGCGTAAGGATTTTTTTTGTTTTTTTTTGGTTTTTGTTTTTGATTTTTTTGTTCCTTTACATCTCAAAAGAAACACCGAAGGATATTCAAGTAGACTTTTGGCATAATCATTTCCCCGACGTTTTACCTGAATTCGGTGGTACAAATCCATAGCCACTAGCACCGACTATCACGCCGCTGCTATCGGCGCGGTTCGGTTCCGGACCAGGTGGGAAAAGTATTGGGCCTGAAAAGAAAAGAAAAATAAACAAATGAAAATCGATGCAAAGACGTTGATGATCGACCTAATAGTTTGTCGTTTAAACAATAATAATAATAATGATAATATATAATGACAGATCATAGCTACCGTTGTTAAATAATTTATAATCGTTAAAATGAGACAATTAATTAGAATATTATCAGATTCATAAATTAGCATAAAATTAATTCCTTTAGCTAGCTGATTCATTAAACTAGGAAGTTAAATAGTAGATCCGTCTTAACACGTGGCAATATCTATTGTATGTAAAAGAATTTCCCTACAAAACTGTATTAACGCGTATACATGTAACAACGTGTTTTACAGTCTCGTTTATACCGGTTGTCAATGACCTTGATGACCGCGACAAGATACGTAGTATTGACTGTGAGTGAACGCAAGTATCAACATTGTAAACGTGGACAGTAGTCAATGTTACGATTTACGATAAATATCGATTCTTGTCCAAATCAAATGAACGTAAAAAATGAATTGACGAAAGAATCGATCTGGATAAAATATTATTTCAAATAAATAAAATGGTCATTTTTTTGTCTTTTTCTTTTTTTCTTATAAATACATTCTCCATATTTCGTTCATCGAGGGAACGAAATATCTTCTTAAAAAAAAAAAAGAAAAAGTATTGGACGTACTCAAAAAAAGATACTCGTCCTTCACGGTCGTTGATCGTACCAATAAATCAAACTCCAACATCTTCGTTCGTCTGCTGATCCGTAACTTCTTTCATTCTTTTTCTACAACCTTTCTTTTACTTTTTCTTTTTCTAAGAACGATTGATCGATTCTTTACCAATTTCATGCTATTATAATTTTGTTGTTGTTGTTGTTGTTGTACTCGAAACGCGTTGGCTAATAAATAAATTTGAAATGAACAGTTGTTAATTCTTTCGTATGTTTTGCATTATGTCGTTTAATTATTTTTTTTATTCTTCTTCTTCTAACGTTTCCGTAATAATAAGTAACACTAATTCAATGAAAGTTATTACCAATCCTTTCTAAAAAAAGTCTTGGTAACAGGAAATTATTGTAGGATACGTGTTATTAATCACGCACGTTATTAATTGTACAGCATTTATATTTTGTAGATTAATATCGGAAGGTATGAAGATTGTTCGGATAATCGAATTAATTCAACTATTGCTTAAATAATTTCTTTTTTTTTCAAGGAAATAAAATGTTATTACACAATTAAAAATTTTTCATTAATCGATGAAACAAGCAACATTTTTTTCTGGAATTCGTGTATCAAATTCTTTGAATAATTTAGTAAGAAAATAAAATAGGGTATTAGAAATGAAAAGTGTTCTCCTAAATTGGAGCATTAAAACAATCAACACGTTTTTTCCTGTTTACAAATTAGTATTCCTATTTCTTCCGTTTCGATCCTTGTTCACTGAAGCATTCATTAAATTAATATTGAGTTGGATGGACTAGTGAGTGTCAGTGAACGTTAGTCATTTCTTACGTTACCAGATATTATCAACTATGTCTACAAAAGTAAACGCGTTTGAACTTGGCACGCGACCTGACTCTAACTTGTATTTTATACTTTCAATACCGATCTAAAGAAATCGTAATTCTCTCTTTCTTTCTCTATCTTGTATTTCTATCGTCAATTACGTATAACATATTGAGTCAATAACATTGCAATAAAAGTAAAATCAGATATTCGATTACAAAATACGAATAATAAAGTAGCATTGATTTTGATACAGCAAAGTATCGATAGTTGTAAATGAACGTGAACGAATAACAAAATAAAAAGGTAAAATAAATAATTTTTTTTTTTTTAAATAACTCGTTACAATGATTACGTTCAAAACTTGTCAATTTTGCATTTAATCTGCTAGTAATTTCGTAATATTTTTGTTCGTAACATATATAAATCGATTTCAATGCGTGCTGTAAATTAACTTCGTATAATTAACAAAGTATTTCCCTGTAACGATGAATAAGAATAGATATAGTATAATAAATATAGATAGATAAGTCTTGTATATATTTACAGAGAGAGAGAAAGAGAGAGAGAGAGAGAGAGAGAGAGAGACTTCACAATGAAAAATTAATTGCTTATCACGATCAAATTCTTTCTTGTATTGAGCAACATTAACGATAGATTCGTTGATATTACTTACATAATTTCGATCAGATTGACTTGTAAACTATTGGCTTTCAGATATCAGAAGACGGTGAGATTGAACGATAATTTAATAGGATAATTATACAGATAAAGATATATATTTATCACATCTTACAATGTGATACACTGAATAATCTATGCGTAATATATATATCTATGTCGTTAACTATTTTTGTTAATAAATTAAAAATCGGTCAACACGGATAATTATTTGCACCTATTAATATCCTATCCTTTCACCGATGGTCACTAACTCCTACAACACGTGCTTCAATCTTGAATTATTATCCCAACTTCGAGAGCGTTAAATCTGTTCCGGTAAAAGTTAGTTCCATGTTCGAAGTTGTAAGTAGTTTACTTTCAAAGATTAAGATCTTTTATTAAAATAATTAAAAAAAATAATAATATAAAATTATATATAGGACATCGTAATTGTTAAAATCCGTCAAATGAGATACGATCGTAGTATAGATTCAATACCGTTAGATATAATCATATTAACCTTCGTAGAAATTCACGGTCGAATGAAAATGATCGAATCGAAATCACGAAGGATAAATTAATTGAAACGAACCTCTGTTAGATCTTGGATCCCTCAATCCTGCGCTCTGTTGAAAGTACGGACCGAAACCAGCGTAGAGTTGTCTGTAATTCTGAGCCGTTGCGGTACCCACCATAATGGCGATTAGAATTGCTACTAGACAGATCTGAAAATAAAAAAAAAAATAAAAAAATTAAAATTCATTAAAAGCAATACTTTTAATTAAAATCGTATATTTTGTGTAATTAAAAGGCTTAATTAAAAATCAAAATTATATCAATTATACGAAAGACGAACGCCATTGAAAATTTTCTTTTTTTTTTTTCAATAAATATACGAGTTATAAGATGGTAGTGGTAATAAAAATCCATCCAATGATGAAAAAAAGAAATCAACGATTGCAATACCCAAAACGAAGAATTTTTGTTGGTTCGTTCGTTTATTTCGTAAAGAAGGAATTTAAATAAGAAGAAACTAAATTCTAAAAGAGAACTGACCGTGAGTGTCGATAATAAATCGGCGAAAGGAAATCGGTTTATCCACGAGAGAAGAAGTTGAGGAATCGTTTTTAATAGGCTAGCCGAGATTATAGATAAGTCTAACAAAATGTCACGAACTTGCCTTTCTAGTCAATTTATTGGCACCAGATTATCACCAACAATCGAGTAAATGGCATCATTAAAGGCTCTTATGAGACTACACTAAATAATAAACATTCTCCTTTAAGTTAAACACGAACCTTGATTTCATCAAGAAAATGGAATTTTAGTTAGGTTTAAAAAGAAAAATAAAAAGAAAAAAGGAAAAATGTTTCTCCCTAAACGTAACCTCGAACATTTAGGATTCAATATATTTTAATCATTCATGTGTTGTTCGAAATATCTCAATTAAACGATCGGAAGTTAATGCCAAATAAGTTGATAATCATTTACGTCAATTAACAAGTTATATCGGTATATATCGGTATTTATTCTGTTTCCTTCCTTATGCCACATAAAACTTGTACATAAAAATAGTTGAAAAAGATCTGACAAGTTTTTACTCGCAAATAATCTATACTATGTAATTTGGATCATAACTTGAACAGGATTGAGAGAATATTTTGTTGAAAACGAAGGGTGCGTGACAATTTTTTTTGATTCCAAATTCCTAGTAGGAAAGAACGTTAATTTGCGGTTTGTATAATGCTAGAAAAGAAATTTACGAGGCAATATAACGCCAACGACCGAACGAAATTAATCACACAGGTCCAACTTTTTTTGCACGTGTGACCCCTATAAAAATTTAGTTTCCTTTCCTACAATCGTTGTTGACACGTATTACTCCCTTTTAATTAAAATCTCTTATTTTCATTTGTTTGTTTATTTTTGTTTTCAACTTTTGTATTCAACTAGTTGTATATAATATACTTATGTTTCAAATGATTGTCATTGTTATATAATTATTGATATAACACCATTCATCGATATATTTTAGAGAAATCGCTTGTGAAATGTTGAAAAATAACTGTAATTCTCACACACCGGGTTGTTTAAATTTGTTAAAAGCGAATCCAATAGGAAATCAAATTTCTAATCACAAATCTCTTGTCGTTAATGGAGTTATATCAACTTTCCTTGCGAATAAGAACTACGAAAGATCATCAGAATGAAGATACGCGTTAACTTACGTAAAACTACTGATGAAATCAATGAAATTTAACGATCTACTCGAAAGAGGATTGAACGGAAAATCACATAGGTAATTTCCGTGAACTATAAGTGCTCGTCCGATGTTATATGCGAGAAACTGGCTGGGAAAATTGTTCAGAAGGAATTCATCGTATGGATAATCTACCTCTGTTAATGTATTTATATTTTTTCTTTCTCACGGATTCATTTCGACGATTGCAATCGATTTTGTCATGACAAAAATCATTTAATTTGTGCGAATAGAATTTGAAACAATCGGATAGATAATCGATTTAAAAAAAAACAGAAATAAAAGGAAGTTCATTTTGCATTCTCTGAAGAATTCAAAAAAAGAATCTAATATTTTCTTTAAAAATTTGTTTCAATTATAGCAATTTCAAGACGTAATACGCGAATTAAGTTTGAACAAAAATATTTATAAACAAATAAATCGTAAGAAAATAATAAAAGTTTCGATTTTAATAAACATTAATAGCAAAGGAAGGAAAGTGACGAATTTGAATTTATTTGTAAAGAAACTAGTTGTTGGAGCCTTCGTGTCTTAGTTTTCTACAAAGGCACGAGGTTGCCCTCGAAGCGTTGGCACACATGTGCTAGCACCGTGACGCGAGATCATGCCAAAGCGATATCCCAAACACGCATGCGAAGAAAAACGCATGCTTGCGTTTATGTGGCAACGATTTCGAGAGAAATGATCGTTGTATCATTCTCTAATCCAATTGATGTTTCGTTGAATTAAATAATTCATGTAATCATTCATTAATAATTAATTTCTTCTTTACATAAATTTATTTATTAATTCATATATAAACATTCATCAATCAGTTTTATAATAATTTCTTCGTTCTAGGATTATCTAGAATATATAATACATGATAAAATTTGATAAAAAGAAAACTGAAAACAAACAAAAAATAGGAAAAAATAGATTACTCGCAAAGTTGTATATTACAGATAAATATCAATGCGTGTGTTTAACATGTTATTAAAATTTCGAAATACAAATACCGGTTTTCGGAAACTTGACGATTATTAGAAAAAAAAATCACTCACACCGGTTTTATGTATACAAGAAAAAAGGTAGATAATTAAAAATAAGAAGTCTCTCACAAAGGTGTCATCAACGAATCGTTGAAAAGTTTCTTCCCATCGTTGAAAAAAAAAAGAAAGAAAAACAAAAACCGTGTCGGTAAAAGTAAGTCGGTTAAATAGTTAACTGTTTGTTTCAGTGATGTCGAGCAGAAACGCGTCTTTTAATTTAGCTTTTGAAACCGTTCGAAAGTGGTTCGAACAGGGGGGGAAACGAGAACAAAAATTGCTTTCGTATTTTTATGAGATTCCAATGGAGATTAACGTTTTCGATTTATTATGAAATTTGGACGAAAAAAAAAAAGAAAAGAAATAAGAGGAACGAAAATCGAAACGTTTCAGAACGTTGAAGGAAATCGCTTAGAAACATACATGTAATTAATTTCTACTTTTTTTTCCTATACTCAACAAAGACCGTATCTTTTAAAAACGAATTGACTGACACTGATAAAACAATCTTGGAAAGTCTATTATATATGAGTTATTAGATATCAAGCCAACACTCAGTTACTTAGTAAGAGTAATGCATTAATCGTAGTTTTGTACTTCCGCATTTTATACCAGATAAAACGGAGCGTGTTTATAAGTTCATTCCTTTGTACGTATGTATAAGTAAATTTTTCCCATAGGAATCCTATAGACCATTAATATTGTAGATTTGTTAACCGTATTGCATCCGTCTCTAAGCCACGTGTCGTCAGTTGTTACGTAACAAGAAGAAACTGGTATAATGCACACACACACACACACACATACACACACATATAGAAATTTTATTATTCTATCAAAGACAGAAGCTCGTCATACCTTTTCTATCACGCACGTTACTCGACCACTTTCCATAGGTGTACATGAATATAAATAGAATCTGACATAAGTGCAACATAGTGACATTGTAACACGTCGATGTACTCGGACCGAGAAAATTGATAATCTTACTGAGTGATATTTCGATCCGATTCTCGTTCCGGATATTTGAATCGTTTTATTCATGCTAATGGTTAAAATATGAATTAAAGAAGAAATGCTAGTAGTTATTATTTAATGCTAACGATACTACCAAAGAAATCTAAAATTCGTATAAATAATTAATTTCAAATTTTCGTTAAATATGATGAGAAATTAATACAATAGATTAACTGTAATGTATTATACAAATCAATCAAAAATTATAATCGAACAACGAAATGATATTTAATTATAATATAGGCTTTGATAAACATACGAGTATCAAATTAGAAGAAATGAAAAGTAAAATGAATAGTAAAATGTTTAAAACGTAAAATCGAAATAGATGCATGTGTAATCAATCGTAATAAAAATAATAATTGACAAAATATTAAAAAAAAAAACCAACTCAGACAAATTTGTATACCGGAAAAAGATAATGCAAGGGATCATTTTCGCGACCTCGACGCTCCTCGTTGTGGTAACTTTCATTTACCTTCGTTTAAGACATCGTCAAGGAATTTAACGAAGGTCCTAGCCTCTCGACAACCTTGTACATCCGATCTTATTATCTTTCTTTTTTCTTTCTTTCTTTCTTTCTTTCCTTTTTTCACTTCTCCCCTCTTGCTCTTTTGATCTCGTCACGATCGGTTAGGCTTCCTTTAATTACACCATTTTACGATATTTCATAATTGCTTTAGTACATTAGCCAATCAATCAATGATAGAACAAGAATAGACACTTAACTTAGTACTGCTTTTTTTTTTTTTATTATCCTTTTAAACAACTACGACGGAGTCATTTAATTGTAAGAATATACCAGATATATAAGTAAGAACCATACCAGAGTTGATGGCAATAAGCCAAATATTACGAAAGGACTGAAGACGAATATACGATGACATAGAAGATAAGAAAGGAGGGTTGATGATGTTAAGAAACTACGGCGTCATTCATTATTAGAAAGTAGGATCGATCTAACAGGTGTAATGCGCAATTTGTAAAGATAAATACTTACGTATATAAATACAACGGACGCGTACATATTTATCATTAGTTATTACATAATACGTATCATTGCTAACCTAAGTAATAAACACCATAGATAAACTATATTTCAAAGCTCGAATGCAAAACGTTGTAAGACGTTGCAACCATTTCTTGATTACACTTTATCACTTTCCGATGCATGTAATCGAAATAATTAAAATACGAGATATACACGAGTATTATTATTTTTACAATTTCTATGACAAGTTAGGTAATAATATTATACATAGAAGCGTTTCTATATTTTTTTAAGACTAATAAAATGCTTCTCTTCCGTTGGATGCTTTTGATTAGAAAGAAGCTTCGTAAGAACTTTCTTCGCTTAGGTGTACGTTTTACGAAAACCCTATATATATAACGCATTTTAATTGATTTTTTTTCTTCCCCATCAACAAATCCCTTCTACTTTTCCAGTTTGTTACGGTATGCAACTTCACGTGGAAAGTTTACATAAGAACTTATGTACTCACGTATACAACGCGAGTACTTAGAAATTTGTTATTTCTTTAAGAATCATCACGTATTTATTTATTTATGTTATATTATAATAAATCATTTTGAAAAAATGTTGTTGCGTTGAATATTTTGTACAATGTGTTAACCTTTATTTCGGATGGAAACTTCTTATGGTTAGCGACATTTCACACATACGTTTCCGAGCATAATGCACACGCGTTTCTCGTTCAAGAAAGAGAAGGTTATTTTCGATGCTGTGCAAATCGTCACGCTCGATTGGCACAAAAAAAACCGGGCAAAAGGTGCCACGCCACATTTCTCTTATAACGGAACCGATAAAAGGGATAGCTTTAAGCGTTCAGATATCGTTGACTTGTTGCACAGATTTTCTCCTTTGTCTTTACTGTACCATAACTATTATCAGGAAGAAATCGTGATATAAAACTATTTAATTAAAAATAATAATTCAATGAGATCTTTATCGAAACTTTTCTTTTTTTCTTTATCTAAACGTCAAAAAAAAAATGCAAAAATGAACATATAAAATCTGGTTTACATTACGGATATTGAAATAAGAAAATTAGTATAAGTTAATATCATGAGTCTGGAGTACTGTGTTAGGGGTGTAATTTAATCTCAAAATTGTATCAGAAAATATATCAAACAAATCTTTCGTAAAATATCATTGATTTTATGAAAAATTTAATCCTTAATTTCCAAAAAAATCTTAGGAAGTATTATACTTCGAGTTATATCTGTTAGTTTCGAACGAATCTAATCCAAGAATTCTTTTAAATGAAATTCTCAATGGTTGAAGTAATAATAGAACATCAACGATGAAATCATAGAAACGAAACAGTAATCGTGATTCAATTGAAATTATTTATAATGACTGGATGGGAAAGTCGATATTAATTAACCGATTTGTTTTAGATCTTTGTTAGGTTAATGCAGTTATGAGAAAAAGACTTTTAAAGGAACCCTAAAGCATCGATGAAATCGTGCTTTCAAACAAATGATTAATTATATCCCTCTAGCTATTATAATTTAACTATTGTTCGTCTAGAATAATTTACAGTTATCGATGAATTGAATCAACGTAGTTAATATACGTGCAATACTCTAGTTCATGTAAATGAACGTAACAAAGAAAGGGAATACAAAAAAAGGAATAATTTTCTGCATCGATATCGAAATCTTACGTGTGATTTGTTGCTCATTCTAGCGCATAATTTCGACACGTACGTACATTGTCTTTATTACCCTTTTATATAGATTTATTTTTTATTGTTTCTTTTTTTTTTACGAGAGTACAGATAAACGTTGTCATTATTATTTTCATGCTTATAATATTAATTACATTTATATCACAATTATTTTCGATAAGTTTTCTTTTAGGCGAATTAAAGGATTAAAATGTTACATTAAAAAGGTTTCATAGAAATATAAAGAGAGAGATATAACACGCGTAAAATTCAGAACTAGTTATTGTAGATCATTACAAAGTTTTTGCAATAGTTGCATACTGATACGAGAAAACGTTTCATTAGTACGTTATGATGTTTTTTGTGTATGTGTTTTTTGTATGCATCATTAGAGAAATCGGAATAACAAAATCCTGTGTATTCAAAGTAAAGGAATGTTGATAAAAGAAAGATTTATTTTAGGATAAAATAAAACGTTCACTCGTTATCGAAATTGTGTAAAAACGTTCCTAGTAATGCATTCATTTTTCATCGAAATTGAACGTATGCATTTATAATAAAATTCTATCGACACTTTGCCTCCTAATAATTAGTATAATTATTCAGTTAACAATAATAATGAAATATTGACGAGAAAAAAAACTATTTTTATCGTAAAAGTAAAAGTTACGAAATATGCATTAAGATTTATTATAAATCAATAGAAATTTTTTTTCAATCGACTTTGGACTCGTCGTTAAATAGACCATGTGATTTAAACGAATTCTTGGAAAATCGCATAAACGATCGACGCGTGTAGGAATATAAAATAATTTCCATTTTTCTATTGAAAATTTCGTAGGAGTTATTTTAAACGAAAAAAAAAAAAAAGTAAACGAATTTATAAGTTTTATCAGTTCCTTCAACGCGTTCACGCCTATTTACGTTCAATAATAATTTTCCATGTTTAATAATATCAAAAGTTGTTATTCATTTTCACTTCAGTAACTGTAGAATTAACTGAAGCATATTATTCGAATAAATAAAAAAAAAGCAAAAAATAAAAGTCGTTTAAACTAAAGTAAACATTTTCGTAGGATCAATTATTTAATTGATAAATCGAATGAACAAAATAACGAAAAATAAGATAAATTTTGAATAGCAAAAGTATGATAGGTCAACGCAAATAAATCTTGTCGAAGTTTTTCGTCCCCTGCGGCAAGGACGCTAAACTTGTCTTGCCAACGGCTAAGAACTCTAGTGAATGAACAAGATTTTACGGATTTCCGTATCTCCTATTCTCCTCTTATTTTTCTTCTTTTACTCGTTTAACTAGTTCTATCAAACTGACACGTCATCGTCATTATCGACTGAGAAACCTAACCACCTGTTTTTCTTGTCACCTTCCAATTGTATTAAACAATTCTTTATGATATAAGATGATCAATTTTTAACTATAAATGTATCTGGATTACTCGACAATTCTACTTTAAATGTTCGAGGTAATTTAACTAGATCAATTCGACCTTACAAATAAAACCTTCGAATATTTTAATCAAGGAATTCATTTCTTTCAAACGTTTTCCTTTTTTTTTCTTCTTCTTTTTCTTTTCTTTTTCCTCAATTCTATTATTTTTTAAACGATTTCCTTCATCGAGGGATCCGTTATACAAATAAATTTTTTTGCCTTACGTATCGAAACGAAATGGAAATCCATTTATGAAATTAGTAGATATATATATGTTTGTCGAGAAAAACATCCATAGTTTCTACGAATGATTTAATTTATCAAGCTATTCATTATTCTGAAACGTTTCTTTTGTGTGTGTGTGTTTATGTAAATAAAAAAAAAAACGATTTATGCAATAACTTTGTTTCATCCAATCAATTCATAATCTTAAAAATTTTCTTTTCTTTTTTCATCTATTATTCCATACGATTCATTTCGATTTGTGATTTTACTCTGTAAAAGAAAAAAAATCAAAAATGGTAGAAAGTATAATAAAAACTAGAACTCAATCTGAAACGTCGATTTATGTAAAAATAAAAATCGTTTTGTGTTTAATCGATTAATAAATATCTTGCTAGATCCTTTTACATGTAATTAAAATATTGAATTATAAAAAAGAAAAAAAAACGATTAATCCATCGTTCCCAATTTTATTTAAAAACAAAAAGATAGAGATAACAAAAAATAGTGAAGAAAATACAACAACCATGTTAGTATATCGAACGAGCGAAAGTAAAAGAATTTTTTAACAAAAATAATACTTGAGCTTTCACTAAGAACGTTGAATTAACCGATCATTGTATATACTTAACCGTTACACTCTCGTTATCCAAGAGAAGGTGAAAGAATAAAAAATAATGAAAACTATCATTAGAGTAAAAAACAAAGAAAAAAATAATGTATCAATCTAACGGTGTGAATTTTTACTAATGATTAGAATTAATTGAGAAACGACAGATTACGTCATCATTCGAATGAGAATTTTGATGGATCAATCGATCGAACTGTATTAAACACATAGTTAACATATTATTCGTAAAAAATAATATAAGAAAAATAAAAATAATAATAAAAGGGTTCGAAATGATAGTAGACACGTGGAAGTTCCGTTTTATGATCGGTGCCTTCCGGAATAATGTACGTAGAAAGTCGAAATGGAATATAAACGAAACACGATACACTTTGCTATACGCTTTTATATACACGACCATCAAGATGAATCGGGCTGCTGCACTCGCTTTTCTACACCAATACCGTAATACCTAAGTGCAAGCAAACCTAACAGTGCATTTCACGAACGTATCTTTCGCTTTTCCGAATAATACTTTTAGCAACGTTAGAACATGTAACATCGAATAACGTATTATATATTATTTATGATAATTTCAATTGAATATAAAAGAATACTCGTTTGGAGTAATATTGTCCATTCAATAAAAATAAAATATTTTAATAAATGATAGCAATTACCATAATTCCATGAAACTCGAAAAAAAATCAACTAATCTAGTCTTTATATTCTAAATATGAATAATTTTACACAACACTATTTAGATTCACTTTTGAAAGGAGTAATAACTTATTCGCTTTCAGGAAACATATAAATACTTCCTGAAGTAAGTGTAAGCGGTATGTCTATAGACGAGTAAGCGGTATAACATGGAACTGATTTACTTACGATTCTCATGGTGCCTCGCAGTCGACTTCTAACACCGCTTCAAGTAGAGAAGATAGAGAAGGTGATAGAAAGAGAGAGAGAGAGAAAGTAACTAACTGACTGACTGAGTGACTGACTAACTGATTTGAGTGGTGAGTGAGAGAAAGAGAAAGAAACACGTTCTCTTCTCAATTTTTCCGTTGTCGATCGAAAGCAGCAACGGTAGGAGAACGACTAAGGTCCAATTCTCGTTAACTATACTCGATATTAACTAACCGGCACACCAGCTGGCTCACCAGGTTAGGCTCACTCGATTGGTGATACTCGTTCGAGAATTCCAAGTGTTTATATTCGCGTTATAATTCGCGTTTATAGTTCACGTTTACTCTCGCGTACTAGCAACAACCAAAAAAGAGGGGTTTACGTTCTCTTAACGGGGGTGTCGATTAAATCGCTACTGTTGTCAGCGGTCGGATATAACCGGCACGGAGAGAAAAATGAACAACAATAAGAAGAAGATGAAGAATTGGAAAAGTTTGGTAATAATGGGGGAGGATTGAAATACTTCAATAGATTATGGTTAAAAGAAAAACAGAAAAAAACCAAATGAAACAAAAAGCACTCTTTGCTGGAGAAGAGAACGACGAATGGAAGTTAAGTTCTGATCAACGTCAAAGAGTTTGCTGCTTGCTAGCTTGTGCTCGCCTCCGTACCGTGTCCGACCGTTTGACATAAAGTGGGGGCGATCCTGGGACTTATATGTCCGCTCTGGAGGCCAACCGGACCCACCTCCTCCATCCTTCTTCCCTACTAGCGTTTGCCTACTGGACACCCGCTAAAGTCCTCAATCCTCTCCCCGGTGCAAACTTCTGATGGTCAAGGTGACTCCTCACTACATCGATACGAAGAGGTACACTGCTCGTCAACTTTTTTTTTTTTGATAGATTTCACAAAAATTGAAAGGGATTGGACAAGGTTGTTCTTAAGGTCAGACAAGTTTCTTACTTCTCGTTCGCAGGGACAGGTCGATGAACGATTTTCTTATTTTTCTTTTTCTTTCTTTATTCTTTTATTTTTTTTNTTTTTTTTTTTTTTTTTTTTTTTTTTTTTTTTTTTGATCAAACTTTCCATTCCCTTTAAATCATTTATGATTATTTTTTTAATCCTTTGAGTACTGAATACTTTTAGTTAAAGTGTTTTGTAGAAACGGAATAATTTATTATTAATACGACTGTTTTATTATTAATCAGATCTAGTAATAAATTATATTTAATAATTAAAGTATTTTTGTTTCTTATATAATTTTCATACGGCAAAACTCAAAACAATAATCAATATTCAAACCAACATTATATTATTTTACATTCATATTGACAAACGCGTATATGCGTCAATAATACACGCTGGCAACTTTTACCAAACGCATATATGTATCAATAGGAAGTAAAAGGGTTAATATTTATGATCGAATACCGGTATTATCGATGTATTTCACGAAATTTGTCGTCATCCTTTAATTGAGTCAGTACGATCGAAAGATTTTTCCGTGTAAAACGACTTCGAATGACGATTATTATCAGATTTTTTTTTTCTTTTTTTTTCTCTTACAAATTTTTAATGCATATTATAAACGTCGATTTTATTATTCTTCATTTAATTTTTTTCTTCTTCTTTTTAAGTGGTGATCGTCTTTTAATAATTGCCGATTAGATGATCCTTCCGCAATGGAATCCGGATCTATCGATAAACGCAATGACGTCAAGTTTGTTTAAATTACGATGAATGATATCTAACAGAATTAGAAACAGAAGCAAATGAAGTAAATAGAATTGTCCTTTCCCTATTTTCTGAAAATTGTCATCTCAGACGATAAGACAATTTTCAAGAACAATAACAATAATTTATATAACCAGGGAGGGGGGATAAAAATACTTATATATAATCATAGACAATGATGCGCGTGATGGTTAGGCTCGTCATGCTAAGATCAGCAAAAACTCGAATAAAATACGCGTCTGGTGTCCCACGAGACTTGTCTCGCACCGTTCGCATAGTCACGTTCGTACACAACTAGGAACACGAGGCGGCAATTATTGTAATAGACAGAGTAATCGATCGAATAAATCTGATCGGAGTTAAAGCAAAAAAAAGGGAAACAAGTGCAATAAAATCTCTTGGATTTAACGGTGGAATAGAAATTCCAACGAGCTACGGAGGAATTCGATTCCCGTAAATCGGTGTCATCTGGCATTACGACTATGATTAAAGGTAATAGAGTGATTAATTGCGTGGACGCATCGCATAACGTTGCTCCATTAAAGAAAAATCCATTCTTTTTCTTCTTTTTTTTTTTTTTTTGCATAAGTACTTTGTAGTAGTATCGAGTCATAAGTCACGTAAGCACACGTAATTCTCTCTACTCGATTATTGTAAACGTAAGTAACGGAAAAATCTTATATTGTCTTTATTTTTATTGAATATTAAATTTCCGATTTTATTTTTTCCTTGTGTTTCCTTCTATTACCTTCCTCCCGATACCACAAACCAACCCCTGCCATTTCTCCGTGAAATAGAAAAAGAATATAAATAAAATATGTTTAATGGGTTTATTTATTGAAAAAAATAATATCGTTAGTCAAATTGTCGTTGATTCGAGTAACTCAACAACGGTGGTTTCTTAACCTTCGTTAGGAATGGAATTTATAACCTTAATACGTTAATTAGTGTTCTTTCAGTAGCGACATCGTGCAAGGAAAAACAACGCCGATGCTGTTTCCAATATCAACTATCGTCATACCGATTTGGTGGAAGGTTGAATGACGTATTTAACTATCGTTCGACCTTTATCGTTTCAAAATTATTTTCCAATTATCTTCGACGCCAAATCTGAGAGATCTAACACCTTTCGATAATTATTCAGAACGAGTTTTCCAAAAAAAGAAAAAAAATCGTGAACACGTACAATTGTACGCGTTAAAATAATCCATGTATTTGATTATTGCGGTATTAGTATCGAATAAAGAAATAAATAATAGGATAATAATTTCAAGGAAGAGAGGAAACAAATGGAATTATTTAATTTTTACGCATCGAGACAATAAGTAGAGAAAAAACACGTTGAAGTTCTGTATAGAAAAAAAAAAGCAGAGTTAAAACGTTAGACGACTAAGAAAAGTCTCGTAACTTTAAATTGCAAGATCAAGATTCAAGGTTACGTAAAGATTCTTAACGAGTATAGAAAAACTCTTCAATAACACTGGTGTCGCGATCATTAAAACGTTTTTCTTCGACCGGTCTCGGGCCATCGATCTCTCGATGAGGCGTTCAAAGAATGGCGAAATTCAAGAATAATATTATGAGAAATCGAAAGAGAGATCGAACAGAATATCGAACGTAAGATCGTCGAAATCGATTACGTGCTATAAAAATAAGATTTAAAAAAAAAGGAAAAGATCATAACGAAAATTGTGAATATTGTTGAACGAAAAAATGTATTGTTCGATCGAATAAAAATATGATCATTCTCGTTCACGAACACAATTTTTGACCTTCGATCCATTATCGATATCACTATCACTATATAATATACATTATCGATAATTGATCATTATCGATCGTTTCCTGCTTATTACTATCGAACCTCGGATTCAAAGAAAAAGGGTTAGTTAGTGGTAAAATGAAAATAAGATAAAAAAAAAAGGATAAACGGAAGGAACGTCGTATAATTCAAGGACATGCCAATTAAAAACGAGGCGCGTCGTCGTAAAATTGGAGAACAATTAATCGAAGCTATGTTAAGTGTTTCTCTCTTATGAAAGTCTAAAGAGAGACCTTTATCGATGCTGTTAAGGATGATGGCGAGATCAAAGTTGGTTGCTACTTATGTATGTCGTTAAATTATTATACTGTAATAAGTCAATTAAAATAACAACTTTTAAATTTACAATTTTATTTATTATTATGAAAAAAAAAAATTATATTTTACAATATAATTATATATATATATATATTAATAAATTTGTAATTAATATACATATTAAATAATAAATTTATATATTAAATTAATTTACATATGCTGTCACAATCTACTGCCATAATTACTGGCGTATATTGCATATATATATTACCTATAAAATAAATTTATACAAATTTTTTAGTGCAGTCCACTGCCATAATTATTAAAGCATATTGCATATACATTACACATAAAATAAATTTATAAAAATTTGTTAGTGCAGTCCATTGCCATAATTCTTGACACATATTGCATATATATTACATATAAAATAAATTTCTAAAAATTTGTTGATGCAGTCCACTGCCGTAATTACCGACACATATTGCATATATATACATAATTATTTACCTACGCATATTGCATAAGACATACGGTAGTATTAATCAACTCCCTTTCTCTCTCTCTCTCTCTCTCTCTCTCTCTCTCTCTCTTTTTCCCCTTACTATTTATCTATCTCTTTCTTAGTATTTACTTAATCAACCATTAGTTTCCCTAATTCCTAATCTAATTAATTCTGATCATTTTCCATTCCAAATAAGTATTGAGTACAGATAAATGTTGTCCTCTCTCTCTCTCTCTCTCTCTTTCTCTCTTGTCCTATCTCTGTTTTACTCTCTTTACGAGATCGGATTGAAATATTTGAATTGGTCGATAGTTGGACGTACAGGAAATCGATGTAAATTAATTGCGAGAGGTTATCGGATAGGAAGACAAGTAAGATCACGTGTTCCGATTCGCTTATACGCGATTTAGGAACGCGTTCCGCATAATTAGCCATTCGTGACTTAGCTTGTTAGAACGTCACGTGAACGATAGCCCGTGTTGAATTAGCTTGGCGAAACTTTTGTTAGCAAAGTTATTATTGCGACAAAAAGGCCAAACTTTTTGCTAATAATCTGATGAGAATTGAGGAAGGAGAGAAAAATAGATAGATAGAGAAAGAGAGAGAGAGAGAGAATACGTAAGAAGAAAATAAGAAATATCATTGATAAAGTGCTAATGAAGGCTAACTGGTGCGGTAACGTAATGAAATCGATATTATTCCAGAAGTAATTGATCTTGAATCATTTCCAAGATTAAATGGAAATATATAACGACGATCATACTTCTCGGAAGGATACGAAAACCTTTCGAGACCGGATACGTAAGCCTAACAAACTCCAGGAATCAAGATCGTTATAGCGTTATGCATACGAATAAATTAATATTTTTATCTGCTTTTTTTCTCAAATAGAAAACTCTAAGGTCGTAATAGATCATCCGGAAATATATTTTTATATGTACAATTATTATTACGATATAAATAGAAGAAGAAAAAATAAATGAATCTAAATGAGGAAAGGGGTAAGTTTAACGAATCGTCTTCAAGAAAAATATGATTAATAAATGTCCCTGGATTCACACGTGTTATCAGAGGATAGAGAAAAAAAGATGATATTGGAAAAAAAAACATCTTACAAGCGGACCGAGTTTGAAGGTGACGTCTTAACCTCATAAAAGGTGCATTCATATTGCTAATTACGCCTTCGGAGGATAACTCCGCCTTCCATAATAAAACAGCAATTTACTCTTGATGCGTCACGCGCATCGAACGTCCATGAGCTGAATCTTTCTTTTAACGGAAACATCGAAGTGTCCACTTCCGGTAGATAAGGGAGTAATGTCACTTTTTCGTGAGAGTTTTTATTTCAGAATACAAAA